GAACATTGGCAGTTAGTACTGGCCTGGACATACGTCAAGGAATATTTTAAGTATAAAAATCGATCAATAGATACCGCCGGGCAACGAGGTTGCTACCTCCCGCCAGGCTGCTGGGCGGCGGCCGTCATACGACGCCATTTGAACATTCATTGGTGGCCTTTTTTATGTCAGTATGTGCCGTAACACCGCGTTTAAGACACAGAGGCGAGTGTCCGCTGCCAATGAAAACCGTTCTATGGAACAAGCGGGAGTATAAAAGGTAAAGATGCGTTCGATTCGAAAACAACTCTACAGACCCACAGAGATTTTAAACAATGCAGGAGGAGAAATAAAGATCTCAGTAGGAGGGGGCAGTGTCCCTAGCGCCTCCCTGCCGCAGCCGCCAATGTGTATTGCTGTTTGCAGATAATGCCAAAATATATTTGAGGATTAAAAACATCGAGGAGCTGATATGCTACAACTCGACCTTTCATATCTGATGGACACGTGCATGAACAATGATGTCACTGAATGTTGGCAAATGCTACGTTGTTAGTTATATAAGAAAACGTCAACCGTTCGATATACCTACAACACTGATGTCAATCCACTGAAAGCAGTGGATATTGTCGACCTCGGTATTTTATTACTTGCTTAGGGTTTTGGAGCGCGGCAATTGCGAAGGTCACTAATCTCGTAGGTGTAGAGCATGTTTTTATCGCGGGAGAGAGCAATGATATTCCCCACTGAATGGAAGATCTAGCACCGATCTACACGTCCGCTTACGGTGTTTTCCGCAGTGAACTATTTCCCCTCATTGCGACACCGCCCCAGCCGGGACAAGCTCTACGTTCCCGACTGTCCCAGCGTGTGTAGTAGTGTACTGCATGTAAGTGTATTTGTAAGGGGTGAGGATAAGACAAGGAAGGGGACGAAAAGTTCCTTGTCACCTTATAGCGTACATTTAGCACTATCTCTACTCAAAGTTTAAAGAAAAAATTTGGAGTCGTTTTTGAGAAAATCTTGTATTTTTTTAATTGCACAAATTGCACGCAATATTGCGTGAAGACTACTAAAATTTTCAAAAAAATGTACAGTACCTTAATGAAAGAACTCACTATGGAGAACATATTTTATTGGAAGGAAAAATCTCTATCTTTAATTTTGTAGTTGTAGGAAGTTATCGAAAAAAATGCATACATTTTAATTTTCGAAAATTCTGAATAAACCGTTAAAATCGGACCTATGCCACCTTTGTAAGTGTACGTTACTGTATCTGTACAAGAAAATTTAAAGAAATTTGGAGCAGTTTTTGAGAAAATTTTGAAAATGTCCGAAGAGCTTCATGTAATGTCCCCTGAAATTTTGAAGAATCTTTTTCAAAATATTAAAGTTTCGACTCGAGCCAGTTAGACAGGGATTTCTTCAATTTGGAAACAATCCTACGTATGGTTTAGGCGCTAGTAGTGTTCAGACACCAGACGGACGGACGTTTTGGAAGAAATAACAACACTTTTTCGGTATCTGGGGACCCCAATACGTGTATTTCCGTTGAAATCTCGATTTTCCGCAACATTACACAACTTTTCCAATACTACGTATATGGGAAAGTAAAAATTTATGTGTAGGGAATTATTGAAAATAAAGGTTATAAAAACTATTGAACATTAGCAGTTTCATACAAGACTTTCATGTTATTGGAATATATAATAATATAATATTAAGAACTAAATAAAAATAATTACCATATTCACAATTAGGTATGTCAACGAAATAATTTTCGGGGTCATGACCTTTCTGATCAGTTTCGGAAGAGCCATGGAGATTTGTAATTTACAGGAAAATTAATTTGTGCGAGATCAAAGTGTGTTTCTCTCGAGGTATTTTGCTCTTGACATGTACTGAACTGTAATGATCCTTAGTAAGTTTCAAACATGAAATTTTACTAAAATTCACTGCAAATTTACTAATTCGGTGAATTTTCTAATACACATTTTTTCAGCTATGGTTGCGCTGAACAAAGTCGGATAGCTTCATTTCTTTAACCTTGAATGAATGTTTGTGTCTCGATTCTAATACTACAGTCTAATACTATATTCTAAAGGAGTAAACGCATATTTCTAAACCCTTTTTCATTTTCCAATAAGACCGAAGTCTCTATCGTAAGGTAAGTAGCTGTGTCCAGATACAATATTGTAACGAATATTGCATCACATGCCGGAATTCGTTGCGCGCGGATTGCGTCATCTGCCT